CCACTCTCTCATTTGCTCTCTTTTTACATTGCTTCACCACTCTCTTAACCTCTCTCTTTTTCTCCATATACTCTTCCCTCCTTGCATCACTTCTACTTTGTAAAAACTTCTCATATGCTAACTTTTTCTCCCTTACTACTCTCTTCACATCATCATTCCACCAATCGCTCCTCTTCCCTCCCGCACCCACTTTCCTGTAACCACAAACTTCTGCTGAACACTCTAACACTACATTTTTAAACCTACCCCATACCTCTTCGACCCCATTGCCTATGCTCTCAGTAAACTTATTCCACTATATTTTTTACAATTTTTTTTTGTCCTCCTTCCCTTTGTGTAAAGAAACTATACATGCTCTCTGCCAATCCCTAGGTACCTTTCCTTTCATACATTTTTTTTTCAACAAGTCGGCCGTCTCCTACCGAGGCAGGGTGACCCAAAAAGAAAGAAAATCCCCAAAAAGAAAATACTTTCATCATCATTCAACACTTTCACCTCACTCACACATAATCACTGTTTTTGCAGAGGTGCTCAGAACACAACAGTTTAGAATTATATACGTACAGAGGTACACAACATATCCCTCCAAACTGCTAATATCCCGAACCCCTTCTTCAGAGTGCAGGCATTGTACTTCCCATTTCCAGGATACAAGTCCGGCTATATAAAAATAACCGGTTTCCCTGAATCCCTTCACTAAATATTACCCTACTCGCACTCCAACAGATCGTCAGGTCCCAAATACCATTCATCTCCATTCACCAAGCCCCTCGCCCACAAAACCTCCCTTACCCCTTCCTTCCAACCTATTCGAGGATGACCCCTACCCCGCCTTCCTTCTCCTACAGATTTAAATGCTCTCCATGTCATTCTACTTTGATCCATTCTCTCTAAATGGCCAAACCACCTCAACAGCCCCTCTTCACCCCTCTAATACTTTTATTAACTCCACACCTTCTCCTAATTTCCACACTCCGAATTTTCTGCATAATATTTACACCACACATTGCCCTTAGACAGGACATCTCCACTGCCTCCAACCGCCTCCTCGCTGCTGCATTCACAACCGAAGCTTCACACCCATATAAGAGTGTTGGTACTACTATACTTTCATACATTCCCTTCTTTCCCTCCATAGATAATGTTTTTTTGTCTCCACATATACCTCAATGCACCACTCACCTGTTTTCTCTCATCAATTCTATGATTAGCCTCATCCTTCATAAATCCATCCGCCGACACGTCAACTCCCAAGTATCTGAAAACATTCACTTCTTCCATACTACTCCTCCCCAATTTGATATCCAATTTTTCTTTATCTAAATCATTTGATACCCTCATCATCTTACTCTTTTCTATGTTCACTTTTAACTTTCTACCTTTACACACACTCCCAAACTCATCCACTAACCTTTGCAATTTTTCTTTACAATCTCCCATAAGCACAGTATCATCAGCAAAAAGTAACTGTGTCAATTCCCATTTTGTATTTGATTCCCCATAATTTAATCCCACCCCTCTCCCGAACACCCTAGCATTTACTTCTTTTACAACCCCATCTATAAATATATTAAACAACCATGGTGACATTACACATCCCTGTCTAAGACCTACTTTTACAGAGTAGTAGTCTCCCTCTCTTCTACACACCCTAACCTGAGCCTCACTATCCTCATAAAAACTCTTAACAGCATTTAGTAACTTACCACCTATTCCATATACTTGCAACATCTGCCACATTGCTCCTCTATCCACTCTAGCATATGCCTTTTCTAAATCCATAAATGCAATAAAAACTTCCCTACCTTTACCTAAATACTGCTCATACATGCTTCAATGTAAACACTTAATCTACACATCCCCTACCCACTCTAAAACCTCCTTGCTCATCCGTGATTCTACATTCTGTCTTACCTCTAATTCTTTCAATAATAACCCTACCGTACACTTTTCCTGGTATACTCAGTAAACTTATTCCTCTATAATTTTTACAATCTCTCTTGTCCCCCTTTCCTTTATATAAAGGGACTATACATGCTCTCCACCAATCCCTAGGTACCTTCCCCTTTTTCATACATTTATTAAACAAAAGTACCAACCACTCCAACACTATATCCTCCCCTGCTTTTAACATTTTTGTCATGATCCCATCAGTTCCAGCTGCTTTACCCCCTTTCATTCTACGTAATGCCTCACGTACCTCCCCCACACTTACATTCTGCTCTTCTTCACTCCTAAAAGATGGTATACCTCCCTGGCCAGTGCATGAAATTACTGCCTCCCTTTCTTCCTTAACGTTTAAAAGTTCCTCAAAATATTTTCGCCATCTACCTAATACCTCCCTCTCCCCATCTACTAACTCCCCTACTCTGTTTTTAACTGACAAATCCATATTTTCCCTAGGCTTTCTTAACTTGTTTAACTCACTCCAAAATTTTTTCTTATTTTCATTAAAATTTCTTGACAGTGCCTCTCCCACTCTATCATCTGCTCTCCTTTTGCACTCTCTCACCACTCTCTTCACTAATATATATACCACTAACCAGGGCCAGATTAAGAAGTCTCCGGGCCCTAGGCTATTCAGATTGGCGGGGCCCCTTTGAGTTATGGGTAAGCGAAGCGACCCCTTCCAGCTTGGGGGTGGGGGGGTCGGTGTGAGCCTGTTTAAGGTCTAATTAAATACATTCTGGCTATTTAGATTAAATTTAATAGGGAAAGTACATCAAGACAACCAAAACCATTTACCAACAGCCATTATAACTATCTTGTTAAATTATGCATTTTAAAGAGAATAAACTCAAGACGTGGCTTATGTGTTTCTGGGGAAATATGTAGTAAATTAATTGATGTTCTACATCACTTCCGTCGCAACTTGAAAACTAAGCATTTGCGACGGAAGTGATGTAGAACATCAATCAATTGAGATCTGTTATTGAAATGATAAAGACTTAAAGGCAGGACAAAGTGCTTTTAAAACCTACAAACGGAAGTCAGTTTGCGTTTTTAGGTTTTTCTTTATAGTATTTTTACCAAAAATGCGTCTTTACTGGTCCATGCATCTTTACTGGTCAAGTAACCCTATCAGGTACCTCCCTTAACATTTAGAGGCGAAAGCAAACATTTATCCATACACATCAATGTCTATCAACAACACTTCATCCATTCAACATACTCACCCATTAGCGGGAAAACACAGCTGTTCTGATGTAAACAAAGGCGTTTGAGTGTTGCCATCTATGGTTAGGTTTATTTATTTTTATTTTATTTTATTTCATTATTTATTTTTGTTTTGATTAATTTTTAAAAATCAATTTTACTCTCCAAACACTTGAACCTTTTAGGTAGGGACCCCTTTGCACTTGCACCATGTGCGCAGTCTTGGATGAGCCCCTGAACCCCTTGGACCGCTGGGCCCCCAAATGCACGGGGCCCTAGGCAAATGCCTAGTTTGCCTATGCGGTAATCCGGCCCTGCCACTAACAAATATACCAACCACTCCAACACTATATCGCCCCTACTTTTAACATTTCTGTCATGATCCCATCAGTTCCAGCTGCTTTACCCACTTTCATTCTACGTAATGCCTCACGCACCTCCCCCACACTCACATCCTGCTCTTCTTCACTCCTAAAAGGTATTATACCTCCTTGGCTTTCTTAACTTGTTTATCTCACTCAAAATTTTTTTCTTATTTTCATTAAAATTTCTTGACAGTGCCTCTCCCACTCTATCATCTGCTCTCCTTTTGCACTCTCTCACCACTCTCTTTACCTTTCTTTTACTCTCCATATACTCTGCTCTTCTTATAACACTTCTGCTTTGTAAAAACCTCTCATAAGCTACCTTTTTCTCTTTTATCACACCCTTTACTTCATCATTCCACCAATCACTCCTCTTTCCTCCTGCCCCCACCCTCCTATAACCACAAACTTCTGCCCCACATTCTAATACTGCATTTTTAAAACTATTCCAACCCTCTTCAACCCCCCCACTACTCATATTTGCACCAGCCCACCTTTCTGCCAATAGTTGCTTATATCTCACCCGAACTTCCTCCTCCCTTAGTTTATACACTTTCCCCTCTAAATGAAGAATATAAATTATAAGATAAAATATTGAAAGTGTTAAAAGACATGGAGCCATAAGTTATTAACAAGAAAGACTGTCACCAGAAGGTCCATAAACATAATGAGAAAGATAAGCGAGACAGACACCAACTTTAAAATAGTCACTTCCTTTTTTTTTTCTTTACCTCAGTGGTCATCTCCTGCCATAGCAGGGTGACTTACAGAAAAAATAACACATTCACCATCATTCATTCAATCACTATCTTTCTAGAAGTGTAGTGACATCACAATTTAGATTACCCTTGAGCTGCAACATCTCCACCCCTCCTTCAGAGTGCAGGTACAGCCCTTCCCCACCTCCAGGACTCAAGTCCTCCTGAAGAAGCACTGTGCCAAACTGAAGTTCATTCATGCAAGTTAGACAGAACAATGGACACAGTCCCCTCTGTCAGTCAAATTCCACAATGACCCGCTACTCAACACACTAAACACTCATAATCTTTGTATCATCACCACTATGTGGAAAATTATATAAAATACTGACAAGTTGATAAGTAACACACATATGCAATAGTTGAGTATCTTTATTTTTGAAACATATTGCATATGTGGTAGGCTTCTTCAGTCAAATACAATGCATTCTCTGTATCTGACTGAAGGTGTCTATTGCATATGTGCAACATGTCAATAATAAAGACTCCCAGCTGTTGCACATGTGTCTTGCTCATTACCGCCACCAATAAAGTATTAATATTGAGGTATCAAATATTACTAAATGTAAAAGGAGAAACTTTCGTTTTTCCTCTTGGGCCACCCCGACTCAGTGGGATACGGCCGGTGTGTTGAAAGAAAGAATTGAGGTATTAAATATAGCTGAAGCTTTATTTGAAGCAAGAAGTTTTACATAATAAAGACAAATCAAATTGTTCTTACTTGTTTGCATTGCAAGGTTGCCAAGACCAAAACCTTCTGCAGAGTCCTGACCGTGGTATGCACCAATCACCCCCAGTAGAATAATAGCCGTTGCCTGTTTCCTCCTGCCTTCCGTCTGCGCCACAACTTCCCGGCAGGTTTCCCCTGTTGTGGCAAAAAATTAATGTTTATACTATACATACATGTACTCCTAAGTCGAACATGAATTTTTTTTTAACACATCGGCCATCTCCCACCAAGGTAGGGAGACCCAAAACAGAAACACTTTCATCATCATTCACACATAATCACTGTTTTGCATTACAGTAATGAGCTAAACATATAAATAAATAAATAAATAACTGTCACTGGATAAGTATATAAATAATTACTGTAACTAACTAAATACTGTATTGATAAGTGAAATAATGAATACAAGTTAAGGACTTGCCACCTTCATGCTGAGTAATTATCTTAAGCTCATCTCTAAATTAGTTGCTGTTGCACCATTGTAAAGTGAAAACATCATAAGTCGAGGAGTCCCTGTATACTACCATAACTCAATTTGTTTATATTATGAATTAGCAGAGCAGCTGCAGGTCTGTCGAGTACATGTTTAGGAAACTTACTGGTCCACTTACTCGGTGACAATAACATTAATACCCAATACACAAATAACCAACACATAGGAGGAAAAACTAATGACGTTTCTCTCCAACTTGGACCACTAACTGGTAACACAGAGGAAAACGTCACCATGAATGTCTCTCTCCTATGTATGTCTCTCTCCTATGTATTGTTCCAGTCATGGTATTGTGACTTTTTATCCATTAATATCCAATGCTGATACCAGGGTTATCTTGCTACTTCTACTTACACTTAGGTCATACACTACACATGCAAATACACGAAAGCAAAGACTCGGCAGACGATGTAACATCCCCTCAATGAAAAGCAGGGGAGTCACTAGCATGTTAAGAGACAACACAATAAGTGTCAGGGGCCCAAGACTGTTCAACTGCCTCCCAGTATACATAAGGGGGATTACCAAAAGACCCCTGGCTGTCTTCAAGCAGGCTAAAGTTGGAACCTGACCAGCTGGGCTGTGGTTCATACGTTGGATTGTGTGCAGCCAGCAGTAACAGCGTGGTTGATCAGGCCCTGATCCACCATGAGGCCTGGTCACAGACCAGGCAGCAGGGCGTTGATCCCCAGAACTCTCTCCAGGTAAACACGCATATATATACACAACCATCTGGGTTTTCTTCTATTTTCTTAACCCTTTCAGGGTTGGTGCCGTACTAGTACGGCTTACGTGCCAGGGTTGGTGCTGTACTAATATGCGTAAATCCTAGCGGCCTCAAATTAAGCAGGAAACAGCTGGTATGTCTAGGTGTGAGAGAATGGGTCTCCATGGTCAGTGCGCACGGTACAAAAAAATCGGGGACCCAGTGGTGCATTGTGGGAAAACCATTTTATTACACTTTGTTCACCATGTCTAGCGCTAAGAAACTCCTCACTCCTCGGCTAATTGGGGCTCTTTTGTTCCCAAGTGACAGTTCAAACACAGATGGAAGTGTCAATAAAGATGAATTTCATGGTTTTGAGGAGTTTGTGACCGAAAGCAATGCCCAGGAAACCTGACGGAAGGAAGAAAGGACAATAGGAAGAAAGGGAGGAAGGAAGGAAGAGATGAAAGGAAGGAAGGAAGGAAGGAAGAAAGGAAGAGATGAGAGGAAGGAAGGAAGGAGGGAAGGAAGGAAGTAAGGAGACCATCAACCTAGGATAACCCAAAAAAATCAGACAGTGACTTATTTCTATGTGGGTTGGTGGGGTGAGGAGGAAGTTGACAGGCAGTGAGGGTGGTGAGTGATGGTGTTATTTGTCACTGTGACACTAATTATGCCAGTGACTCAGCATATTTACAAGTCCACCCCCACACAACAACTACGAGCTTTACAGAAGCTGTAGCAGTTCTGGGAAGTGTCCAGTGACTTTATATGTGTATATATGTGATAGAAAAACAGTAATAAACAACACTTTATTGTTGGTTTGTATAAACATGGTTCGTAAACAATATAATGACTGTAGACAGCCTGTACTGTCAGAACACACAGCCTAGCCGTCTGCTCTGACTAGTTCATATTTTGCGGCATTTAGGTGCTGCCCTCTGTAGGCTCACTCAGGTCAGTGGGAGGCTGAGCCCATCCGCCCTCACTCCCAGGCCGACCGACTTGATAGACACAAGTGCTCCCCCTCCACGGACTGGCTTGCGGTCACTCCCTCACACTGCCCGTTGTGTACTCACTCCTATCCAATTAAAGCCAAACTAGTCCACGGCCGTATCATTGCTACCTACGCTACCTTCATCGGCACTAAACCGCGTTCAGCAGTAAGAACAAAATAACATGTGACAGCGGAGTCAACGCATTGTCCCCCTTTCAGGGTGGAGGGGTCAACCCATGGGTCGACCCCAATCAACTCACCGTCGTCGTCATCCAACACATCTGGGGCCCTAAAGAGTTATCTGTTACTCCCAGCGTTGACGGGCCCTGAGATAGATCTTCGCCTAGTTTTTTCCCACAAAAATCGGGAATAGGCATCACGGCGTCATCCCAGCCTTAGCAGTCACGTTTCACCTCTTTCACCTCCTACAGCCCTTCAACACCTCCCCCCCTCCTCCTGCCTCTACAGGCCCAAGCCCTTCCAGCTACAAAAGTAGGGGTTTTGGGGTCGTTTGTGTTTTGGGCTTCTGTGGTCCACGCTGACCAGAGGCACCCTTTTGGGGTTTGGTTGTTCCCCAATCAGCGTGTAAAGCACCACCCTCCTCTACGGGGCCTTCTCTGCTACGCAAAGACGTCCATTCGCCGTCCATGGTGTTGTGTTTTCCCCAGTTTCCTCCAAAAAGTTTACCCGGCTTAACCACGTGGGAAACCCCCGTTGGTTAGCCCTAAGCCGCTCGTTCAACCCCCCTGCTTCTCAGCAGCGTGACCCTCATTGGCCCCACAATATCAGCGTCTACGTATCTCCACCAGTGCAGTTTTTTTTTTTGTTGCCCAGTTAAATTTTTTTTTCCCTTTTCCCCGCTTTTCATTCCCAGTTCTCACCAGTTTTGTTTTCCCCCCGTGACTTGTTTCTAAAACTTCCTCGTCCCATTCATAGTTTTTACTTAAACTTGTTTTTAGCACGCTCAGTTGTGCGTAAATGTTTTTTTTTCTCCGTGTGCTGAAGCCCCAGTCAGTCGCGCGCCCAGACACCTTGCCCTGTAAACAAACAGCACAGTGTGGCTCAGCGAGTTTGCCCCGTTTCTCTCATACTTTTAACCCCCCCTGTTTTTTTCTTTTCCCCCCCTTTAGGAAAATTTTTTTTCCATGTCCCTATTTGGGCCCTGAGTATTTTCGGGATATCATCTTCATTTCCCATCGATTTACACAGATCATTTACCCTTATTGGCCCCTTTTTTCGAATAAGAACCTCTCGGGGAAAACTCTCCCGGGGTCGCTCACGTTCAATGATACAACCCTGAAATTTGCTATTCCTAGGTAAGCAAAATGTTGAGCTGATGCCCGTGGGCATATAGCATTCGTGAGTGTCGGCAACTCGTTCTCTGTTGAGGATCTCGAGAGAGCCCAACGACAGGACCCTGTGTGATCTCCAGTCCTTCGTTTCCTGACCAAGGAGGACGTTGACTTACAGGTCAAGTCTCCCGTTCCACTGAAGGATTTAGTGGTCAACCAAGGAGTACTGTGCCGTGTTGCACAGTGGTGGACCATGGCAGAACCAATATACCAACTGGTGATACCAGAGTCCATGATACCAGCTACTCTTAGGTTGATCCACAATGTCCCAGGTGTAGCGCACCCCGGGAAGGACCGCAGTATCAAACAGGCACGAATGAAATATTTCTGGCCTAAGATGGCAGCGGACATTGCCAAGCATGTACACCAGTGTGTTGTTTGCCTACAGCACAAGGGTACCATTACAGGTCCTAACCCCATTCTAAAGTATCCCATTACAAAGGAGCCCTGGGAGAGAACTTCTGTTGACCTGTTGACGAACTTCTCGACCTCAGAGAAGGGAAATAAGCACCTGCTTGTAATGGTAGATAACTTGACGTGGTACAGTGAATTAGTACCCATTCCTGATAAAACTGCCGAAACGGTCGCTAGTGCTTTCCGTGAGCATGTTGTTCTTCGTCATACTTGCCCACGTGTCCTTCTGTCAGACAATGGGTCTGAGTTTATAAATGGCATAATGCAGGATCTTTGCTCCAGATTCAACATTCACCAAGCGCCAGTAGCTCCACGCCACCCTGCGAGTAATGGTCTTGCTGAACGTACAAATCGCAAAGTCCTGGAGGTGCTCAGAGTAACCGTTAACCCAAGTTGTACTACATGGGATGAGGCTATCCCAGATGTTCAGTGTACATTAAATTCCTCCCTCAACAGCTCGATCGGTGAGACACCTCATTTTGCTTTGTATGGCTATGACAAGCGCTTACCATATGAAATTCTGTTTGCTCCACCTAGACCTACTTACGATACTGATGACCCCAGTGTAGTAAAGATGAGGACAACGCAGCTTGTCTTCCAGCGGGTACGAGAGAACCTTATGAAAGCTACTGACAGGTTCATGTCTGAGCGCAATGCCCGCGCCAAGGAAAGCAAAGTGGAACCAAGTTGCAAAGTTATGTTGCTCAACCCAGCGCAGACCCCAGGTATGCACAAACTTGTCCCAAAATTCGTGGGTCCTTACCGTGCCCTACGACAGCTCTGTGGCAATAAGTTCGAGGTGAGGGAGATTGCTACGGGAACTATCAAGGAAGCCCACCTTGATCACATGAAGTATGTGGACCATGAGCAGGCCGAAGCAGAGCTGGAGTCACGTGCGTTGCAATGCCATAATCAGACCAATGCTAGGGACAACCCGTCTATCCCTTCTCCCACTACTACTGGTACGGAAGACGGCCCAGTAAGGCTCCATACTTATGGCCTGCGACCCAGGACAACGGTACATTTCTGTGACATTGACGTACCTACTGACTTGTCTGACTCCTACGCTAGTTATGCTAATTGTTTGCTTGCAGAAATGGGTATAAATGCACACACATTGTATAGCTAGTCGATAATGGAGTCAGGGTGGACAACATCATGTAATTATGTAAA